CCATACTGAGGACCTCACCTAAACAAAAAATCCGATACTACTATTTTCGTAGCTCGAAACTGACCTGAAAATTATTGCGCATTGCGCTTCAAGCCCAAGCCGGGTTTTAATTGCGCAGCAATTTGTGATGTTTAATAAAAAGTCATCTCGGGTTACCACGTACTTAATGCGTGGCGCTTAAAATTTTCCAAAAAACAAGTGAAAAATTCAAGCTGGGCCAAAGCTCTCACCGTAACAGACAGTATTTGGCATTTATGGCCTGTCATGATTAAATTGCCCTCAAAAACTGTTAGCGTTCTGAGCTTCTTTGCAAATTCTCAGACGGATGCGTGTATGTCTGGTTTGGAAGAACATGTGCCTGTTCCGGTTCACACTTTTTGGTTCCGCTTTGATAAATTAATGTTGCAATGGAAGCATATTTTTTTAAGGTGAAATTCACGTTTGCTCGACGTTACGGCTTTTATCTGTTCCAGTCCTATTTTCCCACATCACTGACCGTCATCAGCTCATGGGTCGGATTTTTTTTCGATGTACGATCTGTTTCTGCAAGGTGAGTTTTAGCAATGCATCAAAAATATCCTTTGACTAGGTTGGCTTTATAATATTAGATAGCAGGCCCAGTATTTACAAGCTATTCAGTGAATAAGCGTGTTAAAAAAACAGTCAGTTTTCATCTCTTGGCCTTACATACACAAAGAGTGCTGTATGCGGATAGAAGCTGGAATCATCAGTACAGCCTTATACTCGCCATTTTTTGAACGATTACGTGCCGAGTTTGCAAAACAGAGATAAGAATGAAATGTAAAACAGATAGAGAGAGAGCAAGAACAAGAAGAATAATTTGGATAATGGTGAGGGTTGTGAAGATAAATATAAACTTTACACGGTGCATTAATGCATTTGAGTGGCATTTCTACACATCACAGTGCTGGTCATCTGTTTGTTTTTGTTATAATCTCGCTACTGTAGGCACTAGTGACCGAATGCACTAGTACATATAAAAGTTCAATATTGCATTCTCTCAACCGGTTTAACAAAGTGGAAGCATTTAATTTTCAAACTGGTGGCAATCTCTGTTTGGATTTACAGCAGCTCTCGTATTCGAATATGTGGTCTGTGCCCACAGACCGAGGAATCAATGGATTTCAAGATAAATTTCGAGCTATTCGAATTTTAAAATTTTTATGCCTTAGTAGAAAGCGCTCTCTTTGCATATGCTTAATTTATATTGTAAAACACAGCATGTCCGGAGAGTGCACAGTCAGCAGCAAAATGTAAAACTGATTTGCATCGATTTTTGTGTGTCACTAATGTTCAAGGCGCTATGGACATTAGCGCTGTGAATGATGCCACTTGATGCATTTCCTAATTTGGACAGTGGAACCAGTATTGCTGGAAGATTTGTTCGGCGGGTATTTTGAGATGATTAGACCCGGAAGGTCTCTAAGACTTTGTGAGCTTTGTTTTGCGCTACAATTCAAAGAAAAAAAAATTCGAATTCAAGCCGATTTTTCAGCTTTAAAAGAAACCACGCGCAAATCTTAGTGAGGTAATTTGCACTGGTAATGCAGTCAAACAAACTGCAACCACAAAACTTTTTATGCTTTCACATGTTAATTCAAGTTCAGCTCGATTTGGCCCCTCAAAGCCAAAAGAGATTGAGAACTGGAAATTTCTGTTCCATTAAAATGTTAAATATCATGCAATGATATGACTCTCCATGCACGTTTGTGCATCAGCGTGCACCCTCAAAAATTAAATTCAGTTAATCTCCCTCATATTCACACGCATCACCATTCATTACACTGCAGCTTTTCAAAAAAGAATTTCTCTTGAAAGTTAAAGAAATTT